TCGCTCGGGTTTGGGCAGAATATCGTCAGCTAGCGTATCCTCATCCTCATCCTCCTCCGAATTCCGCAATATTCCTCTGCCAGCATCCCAGGCTCGGGCCCGTTCCATCGCCTCGGTGCCCCACGGGCTGCCCTGTAGAGAAAAGGGGGTTAGTTTGGAGCTTGTAGTGAATTTTAGTAGTTTATAGCCATACGGTTAGTTTTAGAGCCTTTTAAAGGGACAGTGACAGGCGACAAAATAGTTTATAAAATTTTTAAATTTTTAAAATTTCGAATTTTTCGTATTTTCGAAGTGTCACTGTCGCTTTAAAAGGCGGAAACATTTCATTAGTGCGCGGGATCGATAAACTGACCGTCATTGCGCCTTTGGAATGAGTTATTAAGGCGAAAGGGAAAAGAAAATCCAAAAATATATGGGGTTTTGGTGATTTTTCACGATTTTGGAGGTGTCACCGTCCCTTTAAAACACGATAGCCTCGCATTAATGCGCGAATTTTCCAAACTGCCATTCGATACATAAATTCGGATTTTTTTAAATTAGTGGTTAGTCAAAAAAAATTAAAATCGAAAACCCATGTATTTCCGGCAATTTTGAGGTGTCACAGTCCCTTTAAACAGACTAGCCCTCCATTAATGCGCGAATTCTCTAATCCGTCAGCCAGCAAAGCGATACCTGCAGCGATTGTGGCCCCTCGTCGTCCATTTCACCCATTTCGAGTGGATGTCTATCAGCCCATTTCCCTCCGCCAATCGTCCATTTCATCCCGTCATTGGTGGTTGTGGAATATCCGGAAGATGAATCGGAGAATGCCCTCCGCGCCGTCCGCAGCGCCTCCATTTTGGACGGGCAGCGCGGCTACAAAAAAGGGTTAGTAGGAGCCAAGCGGAAATCGGTTAGAAAAAGCCGAAAAATCGTGATTTTTGTGATGGTGTAGTTTGTAGCAGAAAGTTATAAAAATAAAAATAACTGATTTTTCGGGTTATTGTATGGCAGATTGACCGGAAATGCGGTTTAAAAAAATATAAGCAACGAAGAAATGGTTAGAAAAGCAGAAAAACGAGATTTTTGAGGTGGTGTAGTTTGTAGTTGAGGGTTAGAAAAATCAAAATAACTGGATTTTTCGGGTTATTGTATGGCAGATTGACCGGAAATGCGGTTATAAATGGGGGGGCTAGCCCCAAAAAGGCGGAACTGGTCCGAAAAGCTAAAAATCGGCATTTTAAAGTGTTGTAGTTTGTAGCTTGACGCTTTAACAAATAACATGAACACGTTTTTGAGGTTACTGTATGCCAGATTGGCCAAAGATTAGGCAAGCAAAAACCTTAAAGGCAAGGAAAAGGGAAACTAGGAGAGCTAGCAGAGGCAATTTGTGGAACCGGCGAGCTAGCAGAGGTCTTTGAGGAATTCCCAGAATCGCGCAAGCTAGCAGGGTTTCTTAGGGAAAGTCAAATTGCGGACAGACAGGCTAGCAGAGATTCTTTAGGAAATGAAGGCAGGATAGCAGAGATTCTCGATCGAGAAAATTCGAGAAAAGCTAGGCGGCGGTAGGGAACCAAATTGATCGACATATTTGTCGCACCGGCTGGGGGCATTCATTTCCGGTCTCTTTTTCTCTGGGCTTTCTCTCTCTCTCTCTCTCTCTCTCTCTCTTTCTCTCTGACTCTCTGTCGCAGCTGAGATGTATTATTTGCAAAGCTGCAGGTGGGGGTATGAGAAGGTGTTTTAAAGGGACGGTGACAGGTCGAAAGGTCGAGAGCGAGAGAGCGAGAGAGAGAGAGTGAGTGAGTGAGAGAAAGCGCGAGAGTGAGAGAGAGGGAGAGAGACAGAGAACGAGAGAGAGAGCAGCGAGAGAGTGAGAGCGAGAGAGAATGAGTGATAACGAGAGAGCGAGAGAGAGCGAGAGATAGCGCGAGAGAAAATACGAGCTCGCTAATTCGCTAAATCCACCAAAACAGGCAGGCAGGCAGAGACCATTTGAGGAAAACTAGACCAATAGGAATAACATGACGTAATTCAATTAGGATTCCATATTTTTAAGCCTTCAAAACCTGGCAAACCTGCATCTCGCATCTCTTCCAGACAGTCTTGCTGCGACGGCGTTGCACCATTTTTGAAAGCGAAGCGTTGAGATGAAGAAGACGTCGACGAGGGAGAGGACAGGCTAACACCCCTGAAAAAAATGGAATTAGAGGGGGCAGGCTGGCGGGGATCCTTAGGGAAATCGGTTAACCATTCAAATCACTTGGAACGCGGTAAAAATTTGGAATTATCTAGCGAAAAAGTTAAACTGGCTGGCAAGGGGGCAGCTAGCAGAATTTATTGGGGAATTCGTAATTAGGCGTCACTCTCGCGTACCCTTCAAATTCTCCAAGAATCCCTGCTAGTTACCGCCCAAAAAGAGCCGCAGAAATGGGGCAGCTAGCAGAGATTCCTGAGGATAGACGGGAGCAGGCTAGCAGAGATTTTTTTGAGGAATTCAGGGCAAACTAGCCGAGATTTTTGCGGAATTTTCGGCTCAAAAATTCGATCGATACATTTGTGAAGTTCGAAAAGCCCCGAAAAGCCCCAAAAACCGCTGAAAAGTCGAAGCGGGTAGAATTTATTAGGCGAAAGGGGGGCAGCTGAGAAGAATCGAATATCGATACCCAAGATTCTCACAATACCAAAAGCCCAAAAACTTGACAAAAAAAGAGCGAAAAAAATGGAGGCAAGCTAGCAGGGATTCTTGCGGAAAAGGGCAGCTAGCAGGGATTTTTTGAGACTTTAAATTGTCATTTTTCAGATTGCTAGTCGAAAGGCAGGCTAGCAGAGATGATCCACGATTCTAAAGGGGGCTGGACCGCTAGGGAGAGCTAGCAGGGATTCTTGAGGAAAGTTGTCAACTCGCAGAGATCCTTTAGGAAGTGGAGGCAGTGCAGCAGAGATTCTTGAGGACGACAAGGCCGGCTAGCACGGATTTTTTAGGATGAAAGGCGGCGTGACAACTAGGGCAAGGGCAGGCTAGCAGAGACCATTTGTGGAATGCCGATCCAAATCCTTGATACGGATTGAGATGTTGTTCCGGGATTTTGTCAGGGAAATGGCCGGCGGTTTCCTGTGTGTTTGCAGCCCTCATAAACTAGGGGAGATCGGGAGAATGTGTGGGCGGAAATGGAGAGAGGGCAGAGAAAAAGAGAGATGATCGGATAAGATATCACTCGCGTACATATCCTCCGATATGCCAACAAATGCACCCAACGAAAATAAGAAACCGCATAAGGTTAGCGGTGACAATCAATTACGCCATAAAAATTCAAGATTGTTGGGATAAATTGATTACGACATCAAAATCCGCCTTGACCAAAGTTTAGGAATCGATTACGACATGAAAACGAAGGTCGAGCCAGCGGAAATTCTTGGAGAAGTCAAACTGGCAGGCGGGGAGTTAAAAGGACCGGGAATCAAAGCGAAATGATACAAAAACGCCATGAAAATTTGCGAGATCCATGTTCTGGAAATCGATTACGACATGAAATTCAAGTGGGTAAGCTGGCAGAGATTCTTGGCAAATTCAGCTGACTGGCAGTGCATTAAAGGAACTCGAAATGAAGCCCATAGGATTCGATTATGACATGAAATTAATCCCCTATGTGATTACGATAGGAAATCGTAACATAATTGACAACCGATTACGACATCAAATAGCTTGATAATCAACTAAAAATCCAACGGGGAAGAATTTGAACTCGGGGGGCAAAGGAGGGGGAACCGTCGAAGGTTAGAATGGCATGCACTTGACCTCGACGAGAAGGAAGGGGAGGAGAAGCAGGGAGAAGCTGAGAAAGGACAGTCCGCAGCGACTGAGAAAGACGGGGCAGGCTAGCAGAGATTCTTTTGGAAAATTGGGACAGGTTAGCAGAAATAATTGGGGACCTCATCTAGCTCTCTCTCTCCCTCTCTCACTCTCTCTTCCCTCTCTCTGTCACTCTCTCTCTCTCTCTCTCGCTCTCTCTGTCTCTCTCGGATTCCTCACTAATCTATGCTAGTTGACGCTCGAGAAGACCGGCAAACTAGCAGAGATCTTTAGGGGAAAGCGGCAAAAGATTCCCAAGAGACCTCTGCAGGTTTGCTGCAGCCAGGAGAGAGAGAGAGAGAGCGAGAGAGAGAGAGAGAGAGAGAGAGAGAGAGAGAGGGGGAGAGAGAGAGAGAGAAAGAGAGAGAAAGAGAGCGAACAATAGTTAGAGAAAACGTGTACCTCCCTGCCGATCTGATTGCAATTCCCATTCCCCTCCCCCTCCTTCCCTTTGGCAACGTGTTTCCCCCTCTTGCTCCCCGCGGCGGTGCTATTTGAAGGTCGAACTCCCCATAGGGGAAGAGGGCAGAACCGAAAAATAACTTTCTCCTCCCTCCCCACCCCTAGATGCCCTCCGGCTACATAAATGACCTGTGGGTGAGGTGGAAATTGAAAAATTGGTACGGTATCAGTGACTGGACCCAAAAAAAAACGAGATTTTGCTCGGGATTTCCGCAAAAATCTTTGCTAGCTTGCCGCGATAAAAAATGGGCTAAATAGATATGGCTAACTAGGGGTCAAGGAATAGTTTTTGCCGGTTTCCCGATTTTTACTGTGGATTTTCCTGAAGAATCCCTGCCAGCTTGCCCCACAGTCATCCGCCGTCCCTAAGAATCTCTGCTAGCCTGCCTGTCAAGCTATCAATTTCCTCAAAGAGTCTCTGCTGGCTTACCTTAATCTTTGCTAGCTGCCCAGCCCTAGAGAGTTTTCCCAAAAAAACCCTGCTAGATGGCCTGACCCCAGCGATCCTCAGGAATCCCTGCTAGCTTCCGCAAAAATCTCTGCTAGCCTCTCTTCCAGAGAAGCCAATTTTCCTTAAGGATCTCTGCTAGCTTGCCTCAAAATGGATTTCCCTAAAAATCACTGCTAGCGTGCCGTTGTCCCCCTCCTGAGCACGAGCAGAGATCATTGAGGAATGGACCGGGAGCCAGATTGCTAAATTCCATCAAATTTCCGAATGGATTTCGGCTAGCCTGCCCCCACCCTCAAGAATCTCTGCTAGCCTGCCCTTGTCCCCTCCTGAGCACGAACAGAGATCATTGCGGAATGAACTGGCAGTCAGATTGCCAAATTCGATCAAATTTCCGAATGAATCTCGGCTAGCCTGCCCGGATTTTCGGCTTTTAAGGAGAGTTTTCGATTTTTTTGCAAATTTCCCGAAAAAAGTGCGCACAGATCTGTGCTGCCGCACACGAATTAAATTAGGCAGCCTATCACGTATGGATATGCCCAAAAAAGGGGATAAAAATAAATAAACACACGCGGGGAAGGGGGCATTCGAATTAGAGGGGGCAGCTGGGAAAAAGTCAATATACCGGTAGAGCCGCTCGCCCACACGGGATTCGCCGAATCTCCCCCCGCTTTGACCCGTTCCGATCGGGGAAAGGGGGTTTGGCAAAAATACCGAAAATTCCAGAAATAAGCCCGAAATGACTAAAACTCGAGGGGAGGCTAGCAGAGATTCTTTAGGAAAATACGGGCTAGTGAAAAAAAACGTCTGGATCCGCGAAAAATACCGACAATGCCGACAATACCGGCTAAACATCGAGGCATGCTAGCCGGGATTCTCTAAGAAAATTTCCGGAAGGCAGCTAGCAGTGACAATTTGTGGAAGGCTAGCAGAGATTCTTTGAGAAGAGAAAATCGACCTTGACCCGTTCCGATCGGGGAAAGGGGGGTTTGGCAAAAATACCGAAAATACCAGAAATAAGCCAAATGACTAAAACTCGAGGGGAGGCTTGAATTCTTGAAGAAAATACGGGCTAGCGAAAAAAACGCCGGGATCCGCGAAAAATACCGACAATGCCGACCATACCGGCTAAACATCGAGGCATGCTAGCCGGGATTCTCTAAGAAAATTTCCGGAAGGCAGCTAGCAGTGACAATTTGTGGAAGGCTAGCAGAGATTCTTTGAGAAGAGAAAATCGACCTTGACCCGTTCCGATCGGGGAAAGGGGGGTTTGGCAAAAATACCGAAAATACCAGAAATAAGCCAAATGACTAAAACTCGAGGGGAGGCTTGAATTCTTGAAGAAAATACGGGCTAGCGAAAAAAACGCCGGGATCCGCGAAAAATACCGACAATGCCGACCATACCGGCTAAAAATCGAGGCAAGCTAGCAGAGATTTTTGAGGAAATTTCCAGGCGGCTCGCAGTGACGATTTGCCACACAGAATCGAAGGTAAGCTAACAGTGATACCTCAAGAAAACATGGGCCAAAAAATAGCTACTTTCGGAAACAAACACCGAAAACAACATCACAGACTGCCCCCAAAAACTGAATCTGTGCAAATCTGAGGGAACCGGTCAGGTAGCAGAGAATCTTTGAGATTCTTGACGAATCCCTTCCGAAAGAACCCATGCTATAGTTTGCCACCTTCGAATAGACACGGGCCAGCTAGCAGAGAAACTTTGAGTGGGCTTTCTAGAACTGACCAGCAGCTAGCACAGACCATTTGAGGAAACGAGTCAACTAGCAGAGAATCTTGAGGAACTTATCGGCAGAACCGAGATTTCGAGAAAACCAAGTGGAATTCAGGAATTCCCCAAATTCCTGAGCTCCAAATTTTCCTAAGGATCTCTGCTAGCCTCCCCAGGCAATCTTGCCAATCCTGACGTTTTGAACGGCATACTGGGATCGGAACTGGCTGGCATTCCTCCAAAAAACGCGGTAGTCGCGTGCCGGCAAAAAGTGGCGCCGCCCGGATGGAGTACGGAAATGTACGAAAATGTACGCGGAAAAAGATGGATGATCATTGGAATGGATAGAGGGGCAGGCTGGCAGGGATTCTTGAGGAAATGGAATGGGCATACTAGCACAGATCCCTTCGGAAATTCTGCGAAATTCGGTAATCTGGCTGTCAGTCAATTCCTCAATGGTCTCTGCTAGGCACCAGGAGGCCAGATCGGCAAACTAGCAGAGATCCTTGGGGGAAAATGAGTCAATTTAGCTCCCAAATCTTCTCTGCTAGTGGTCTATAGAGTAGGAAAGAGAGAGCGAGAGAGAGAGAGAGAGAGAGAGAGAGAGAGAGAGAGAGAGAGAGCGAAAGATAGAA